CACGTGTACATAATTTTCACTTTTGTGTCGTGTCGTGTGTTCACTCACCGCGCTTCTCATGGCTGATGTGGGATTGTGTGCGACATGTCCGACAATCTAACAGTTTTATACCCACCACCTCTACATCTGTACCTCTAAAGTTAGCGGTCGCGCCTACTTTTGACTACGATTACACAAAATTATTAAGATTTTGTTCGTTGCTATGAACATTCGTATGACAATCGTTTGTGACCTACATTTTAAGCCCAACTATATACATGTGTTATTTCTTGAGCACTACGGAAATACCTATCTTCCCTTGCTTCTTTTTTACATGTTTATGATAATCTTGTGAATGTTCACTTTTGAAACGTTTGTTTAAAAGCTCTTTGGAAGTAATCATTTTTCTCATATTTCTTAATTTGAGTTATTTTGAAAAACTTGTGTCTAAAAACTGAAATCACATGAAACTATGATTAACTTTACTATAATAACAATAGTTAATGTGTGTAAAAATTCTTTGTAAATCAATCTGGTCCTATACAAGGTAAAACAAACACAAAAAATATCACTTTCGCAAATCCATGGCCAAAAGTAACGCCATTGTAAGTTGATAATTAATTTCGAAATAAAATTTTCGATGCTTCAGTGTTACGAAGGTTTGCTGTACTTATTTTCGATTTTATAGAACTAGACGATATCTGTGAAACAGTATTTTTGTATTAAATATTTATTTAGTTATATTGACTGTAAAGTTTAGGTTTCGATTTCTTCATTGACTAAATGTTTGTTTGTATTTGTATTACATTTTTCAAGGTATAATTGTAGATTATACTGTAACATTTTAAGCAAAGTTTTACGTAAAAAGTTAACATTGCTACTATAAATAATGCAGTGAAACACGTTAAGTTTTGCATGACTATTTCGACGTTAGATGGATATTCTGCAAAGCCTAGACATTATAAATTGTATAAAATGTTTATATCTACAAGGCTAGAACCTAACTAACCTAACCTAACGTGTATGGCGAGCATGAACACTAAACAGCGTTGTAAATCCGTAGACAGTAAATATTGCATTGACTTGTAACAGTGAGTTGTGTGCTCAATAGATTTATAGACACGTGCTTCGGAGACCTATGAAAGAAATTTTTAAGTCATCGTCAATACAATGAAGTCGCGAGATAATCACAATGTCAATAGTATTAGTTCAAATAACTCATGATTAGGGTTGTCAAAAACGAAATCTGATCATTTTGTGTTTATTTACGTTTATATAAATTCGACACGACTCTTTGATGATAAACGCCTATTTCATGTTGCTATATATCTCACTGATAACATTGATTTTTTTATCTAATTCCACTTCCATATTTTGTCATCAGTTGCTGTGTAACCGTCACAGAGTCTGAAGTTTAATTTACTAATTATTTATAATTGAAGTTTCAAACTTTATTGCAAAGATTCTTTAATATTTCAGAATTTTTCAAATTACTGGTAACCTAAGCAAAATTTTAAATAATTGTATATCGACAACCCTAAATGTTGCCAACTGTTTACTTAACCAGAGTAGCCCAAATAGGGGCTAAAGTGCAAATAATTAGGTAATAGTGAAATTTACTGGCATCGCCGGTGGGTCATGAATTTACACCTTCATCTATCCTCAAGGCAAGGTAGTTAGAGCGACACTTTCATAACAGATGGTCTTAGATAACAATTTGCATCCTATTTCGTCTGCATCCGTCGTATTTCGTCACAGCCTTGTCACTCTACTGCCGTACGTGTTTTGTTTGTAGTATTCACTTTCTGGGACATAATTACTATGGTTATAATGTTACTAATTGTTTTTTTTTTATTACAAAAGTATACCATTTATGGAATAGATGAAAACATATTATTAAATTATTTACTATAACAAAATGATAAGTAAACTTAAATAACTTATTAGGTAAAAATTGTAACCCAAATGATTATTTAGCTATTTCAAGCCAGTGTTAAATAAAGCTAAGAGCTCGAAACTACAGTTTATTATCCAATCTATAGTAAATGTTTCAGCGTTGTTGTTAATTTTATTTTTTAATAGGATAATCTTTGACGGGTTCCGGCGGCGGACGTCCTTTCATCCCCTTCATTTCCGCCTCGCGTTGTTTCCGCTTTGCCACGATGCGGTCGTGTGTTCGCTTCATCTCTAAGATTTCCTTCATCTCTTCCTTGTCTTCATCCTGGATATAAATAAAAATGTTTGTTTTATGAAATAAACTACAAAGCATTTACAAGGATAAAGGACAAAATAACTTTTTTATATACAAAATACAAATATACACTTTTACAAAATTGATTATTAAACCTTTTGATTTATTCGCAACACTAACGCCCTCTTTCCGTTGGCCATCGGCTGGCTGTACGTCAACAGTTGCTTTAGCCTCTGCGCCGGGGGTACTCCCCGCTCCACGACGAGCACAATCCTCGCCCATTGCCGCTGCCATTCGTTACGTGTCTCTGCTATCTTCTGATAGGTATTTCCCATCATGGCTATCAACATGTTGACCAGGAGAATCGCTACTATTATCATATATACCACGAACAGGAACTAGAAGAAATACAGCTAAAATTATCAGCCATTTCTTCCCAATAGTGGTTGATTTGAGCATTATATCTGTTCATAATTAGAAATCCATTTGTCATCTACCTTAGTTTGTCAATTATATAAATGAAGTCACTGTTTAACTTTAATTGAACAGCCTTTTTGGAATTTTTATTAAATTATATGAATACTTTATTACATTGTTCTGTTACCTTTGCTTCAATCTCATGATCCGTATGTTCAAATGCGCTGTAATAGTCCGAGAATGACGTCAACGACATGAGGAACATCGCCATTATGCTCTCCATCGGCGAGGGCATGGGGTTTGAGACCGAGTCATCCACTCCCTCCGGTGTGTTAGGATTATCGAATGATAAGAATATTACATAGTATGCTAGAAAACAAACAAAAAATGTCTTATCTACTAAGAGTTACAGTATAAATGTTGAACAAAAAAATATTTTATTCCCTCACCATTAGTAAATTGCTTTAATTATACAAACCTTGTGAAAATCCCATAACGAATACAAGGTATATGCAAACAAAACGCAAAAGATCTCCCATCACCATGCGATAGATCATCACAACGAAAGGGCCGACGGTTTTGAAACCCCTGTTTAAAATAAACAGCACATCAGTAAATGCATCGATATATTTAATATATCTGATGTCAACAAATCCATTACTAATTTAAAACAAGAAATTGATAATACTGACCTACAAAAGAACAAGAAATAGGGAGCTGTGGTGAGCATGATGATAACAGCGACGTGATCCTCTTCCTCATCAGCACACCAGAGTCTCATTGTTGGCAACGCTAGCATTAATAGACAGGAGAACAAAAACATAACCCTAAAATAACACAAGATTGTGAGTCTCCGTGTCAGTAGGGTAACAATGTAGTGAAATTTCCATTGAAATATTTATACAAATTCAATTTTTAAGCTTTTATCTTTGATACCTTGAAGGAACTGTGCTTAGATTTTCAAAAAACATCTTCAATCCTAAGAACCTTGCTTCACGTAATGCGGCTCCGATGTAAGCCAACGCTCCTACCCACAACAGCAATTCCCCGGAAATTCTGACCTGGGAAATTACATCGATATTGAATAGGTATTAATTTGCAGGCATAGATTAAATGACACTTGAGACATTCAGGGAGAAAATACTTACTTTTGCTTGCCAACTATCAAGATTCATTAGTCTACACTCTTCCGTGAGATCTTCCCACCAACCCTCCATATCATTCTCCCGACGAGGTTCTGTTCATAAAAGTATAATTTTTAATTTACAAATAATAGTAGTGGAATTACTAAAATCATAATCCAAGTTAAGCTTTGCCATTCATTAAAATACTAGGATAGCTACTTTTATCTTTATCCTTCGGATGACTCTTGAAGTGACTGCAACGAGGCCCGGTCTTGCTAATATTCAACACTTCCACAGCACTTAAGTCAAACTCTCCGCCATTTATTATCGTACAATTCTCTGGAAACACATAGTCCAATTAATTTAGTATCTGTAACCGTAAAGCCTGTTATTTACTGGCATGTAATGGTGATATTATCTCTGATAAATCTTACCAACATCTGAGGTAGCTTCTGTATAGTTAACGTTAACTGTAGAGTTTAAAACAGTGGAGTTAACGGATGTTCTCTCAGGCGGACCCGGTCGCAGAGTAAAACAAACCAAAGACACCAAGAAGTAGAACGTAAAGAATATAAATCGACGGTAGAAACGAAACTTTACGAACGTGTTCCATTTAGTCTTCAAAAGATCTATCAGCATTCCATCAAGGAGCTCCAAGTGTTCGTCTTTCTCCTGAAAACGTTAATGTTAATCTTGACATATAATCCTAACCAGCTACAGTTTTAAAGTCAACGGCAGCAATAGTTGTATTCAGAGAAGAGTATAAGCAAATGTAAATAGGAAAAAAAACTTACACCGAACACGACTAAATTAAGCGCTGAATCTTTACAAATCAATCCAGTCTCGGTATCAATAGTGTCGACTAGACCGAGAGGGTAGGCAGCGCATGTAGTGGCTCCTATCTGCCAGTAGATCTCTCGCTCTATGTTCAGGATGTGCACAAACAGCTCTATACGAGCCAGCTTCGCGGCCAGGGTTAGAGGTGTCAGGTTTAAAACATTACGGATGCTTAGAGACGCACCTACTTCGTACGCCATGTCGAATGTACTCTGAAATAGAAACAGTTAAGTAACCAATAAAACATATACCTTTAATATAACGATTTAAAAATTGGTTTTATAAATTGTTAAGTAGAGAAAAAATTAACAGTATAACGAATCAAGCGGATTCCATTAGCCAACAAGGGCTGCATGCTCATCTTTATCGCAATGAATGAAAGACCCAAGTCATTTGATCAAATGAAAATTATTTATATTGTTACCATTTTGTCGTATATAATAAGCATGTGTAAAACAGTATTGCCGTTGGTATCCTGCTTGTCAGGGTCAGCTCCTCTTGCCAGGATGAGTCGATAGCATTCTTCGAGCCCCAGGCAAGCCGCGAAGCTAAGTGGATACTCTCCCCAGTATACGTAACTAAAAAAATAAAATGAGTAGACCAATTATTCACAGTACAGGGTTTAAAACATAGTAGTGTAGTAAATCACTATTTAGATGTTGATATTTACGAACATTTTCTGAACATAAAGTCATATAGATTTTTCTAACATTTTGTTAACAAAAATATGTAGCAAGAAGCAAAAAACACATAAATCGCTTCCTCTGAAATCCTTCTTATAATGATGGATGGTATATAAATACTTAGATATATGTGTAAGTATTCCAAATCACTTTGCTTCGTATCCCCCAAAAGCACTCCAACTTAATGTATGCGTACATTAAATGTTTTAAAGGGGAAAATCGTTCGTTTAAATAAACATACTGCGGACATACATAGAAAAGAAACAAACAACTCAAGTAATTAAAAAGATATAGTAAGTATAAGAACATATAAAAGCATGCATTTAAAAAAAAAACCTTACGAAAGTGGTAACGAAAAAACAATAATGGTTTGCTTGTGACCTGAAATTCGCGGTCTTCATCTGGATAAAATTTAATCTTTTTTAATCTTCATAGGATTAAGCCAGTGTTTGAACTAAATATTCCTACCCATCGTAGTTGGTGTGAGGTTGAACATTAACCCATTCGTGGTCGAAGGAGTCGGAGCGCGAGGCCTTCTGGTCTTCTGGACACATGAAGTTCCCATAGCACCGCTCGTGATAATCCGCGCCCGCGTCCAACAAGAACTTCACCATTGTCAAATCCTCATTCACTATCGTCATATGGAGCACGCTCTCACCTGCTCCAATAAATACCCTCATAAATTACAGCGCGTTTCAATGATCAATTCTTTGAACCATGGGAACTGTATTGTTATTGAGCACCTGTTGAACTCAGCACAAGATGTCGATAATCGTAAGTTTAGCCATATTGTATTTAAAAAAGAATTAACGTCACTAACTAATATGCAAAGGTTAGAAAAAAAAAACAGTTTTATAATATGCGTTGAGTTTTCGTAATAAATTTTCCGCCTTATCTTAGAGAAACTTTTATCAGCAGCTCTATCAAATTGATCCCATAAAGCATTTAAGGCCAAAAGGTCAATTTATATTAATTTGTCTAACGGATAACGGAACTTTATTGTCCTAAACGATATTGATTAAATCTTTTATGTATAGCTTATAATATACAAGTAACGGGTTGGGAAGAAAGTAATAAAGTATTCAAGTTTATACAAGAGAGTTTATAACTGCGATTACGTAATATAAAATATGCGTACCATAATATTCATCGCTCATGTACACATCATTGATCAGCTTAGGATAGAATCTCAGTAGTCTCTTCGCTAAGTCAGAATGTAGAGATGAGGCATTCAAAAGGCAGATATGAAGTACTGTTTCACCAACAGCTCCACGCTCCTGTAAAACAACACAGAATATAGCAAACCAGGAAACCTCATGGACTACAATTTTGATCAGAATACAGTTATCTCTTATATATTTATTTAAAGCCTTTACAATACTTTAATTTCAGCAGATATTGGTCTTATCTTTTTTTCTTGGTTTTGTCATAAATCGATTTTTTTCTATATCACCTTTAAATCCCAGCAAAGCTCTCTATAGCCAGAAGGATTTGCATCATATTCTTCTTGTGTTACCGCCGGCCAGTCCTTTTCTACGTCAAACTCTTCGTCCGGATTCTCCATACCTCTTAAAGGTGGCAACTAAAACGTTTATAAAAAAAAGAGTACTTCCAAATTCAAAAAAACGTCAGATTTGATTTTAAAACATTTGAAAATAGACCCACTTACCAGCTTATGTCTAGGTCTTTCCTTGTTTCTCAGCAGAACGATATGTGATATAGGACAATAGCGTCCTTTACCTTTATTGTACAGAAATGGTTCTACTTTGGTCTTAATGGCGTGATCGATTTCAGCATATTGTTTATTCTGGACAGCTCTTTTCATCATATCTACCAAAAGTCCTCCACCTGTTTTGTTAAAATTCTATTTGTAAATTAATTCGAATACAAGCACCTCTCTAACTCAAATTAAAATAGTTCTTCACATATTGTATTGTTAATATTCAGTGATATCTGAAGGCTTACCTTTCACGTCGACAAGCTTATACAACTTTTGCTCCGACGTTCCCGCTTGCTTCTTTACACCACTAGTTACATTACTCTCTGTGTTACCCATTGTACATTTATGTTTTTAAATTTAATTTATACTAAAGTAAGAACCTTACTACTTATTAATAAGTGGTTTGAATATGAAATACATTTGGTCGAGACAAATTTTCCTTACCAAGCTGAAAACTATTGATATAACGGAGTGGTTTCCATAACTACTTCAGCTGTTTTGATTCCATGATTTTTTTACACGGTACATATACGGTCTTTTGAACTTGTTTGTATATTGTCTATCATGTATCGACAATCATACTTCATACTAATATTATAAATGCGAAAGTTTAGAGCGATGGATGGATGGATGTTTGTTAGCGCTTGTAGCCTAAACGGCTGAATAGATTTCGATGAAATTTGGTATAGATGTGGAGGACAGTGTGTAATAACACATAGTCTACTCACTTTTGTTCTTTTATTCCACGCGGATGGTGTCGGGGGCCAAAGCTAGTAGTACATATATGATATTAGGGTACAGAAAAAAACACGATCTTATTTTTTGGTTAATCGCATTTAAAGACTTATATGTACGATTAATTATTAATACGGTTGTCTCATAATTAGATAAAAAGCTTCCACTAGACTCAATATTGATGCACTAAAGAACAGTCCAAGCATCCCGCCAACGGTAACTGGAAACAAAAAAATCTGTAAAACAACTAAAGTCAATAAGACAAATTTAATTGTGACACATTTGTTCAGATTAAAGCATCGATTTGAATGTTTTAATTATTGTATGTTCAATTCGTATTTAAAGTCTATGGTATAACTTACCCACCAAATCCAAGTCGTTGCGTAGTAAATTTTTACGATAACGTAAAGTGGGCAAGGAGATCATACGAATGTTAATAATAGATCCTCTCATGGCTTGCTTTGGCACGCGCTGCCTGTACATTAAATAGCAACTACATTGGCGAAAAAAACATATACCAATTTTAACGATTAGTCTTAACATAGACTTATAAATATTTATAGAATGATTCTTACAAACAAACACTATATAAAGTTAAACATAGGAATAAACTGAGTATTACAAGCAAATATTAGTACAAATTTTGCTTATACTCGGTTTATTCCTAAGTTTAACATTATACCGAGTTTATTTGTAAGGCTGTTAATGTGTTATTAGAAAGTAAAGTATTCCGAACAGACAGATAAATAACTGTTTTTTGTATTTTAATTGTGTATTTTAATAGCTTACATTGACGTATGAATTATAGTTAATTCACTTTCAACGCATGATGGTAAGCAGCTATCGGGATAGGATTTGTCAAAACCAAGCTTAGCTTTTTGACCTGAAAACAATTTTTATAACTACTTTGAAATTAAATTAATCGCACTTAGTTTACTTTTGCATGTGATTTAATTTTTGTTTATAAATAAGTTATACCTTCGTAAGTAACTAAACAATTTATACCAGTGTAATTGCAATACAAATGTTTATCTGAAAAAAAATTACCGTTTTTAAATATTTTTAAGTAGTTATGAAATAGTGAATTGAAATTTATAATGGGCAATTTGTGATATTATTTTTATATTTACATGATATGTCTCTAACAGGGTGCACACAACCGCACTGCTCGAACGACCTCTGTGTGTTTCTAGCAAGTCTGCACGCCGCGTTAGAATAAACCTGATAAAAAAAGCTAATTTTAATAACCAACAAAATACTTAGTGAGTACGAAATTTAGAAAATATATGTAAACTAGCTTTCGCCTGCGACTCCATCCGCGTGTATTTAAAAAATCAAAAGTGAGTAGCTTATGTGTTCTTCCAGGCTATTCTCTACATAGATACCAAATTTTATCGGGATCCGTTCACCCGTTTAGACTTCAAACTCTAACAAACACCCATCCATCCATCTAAACTTTCACATTTATAATACTAGTATTAGTATGAAGTATGATTATAAACAATGTTGCCAAGTAACAATGTGTACAATAGAGCCAGTAAATTATGTTTTAATTTTGCTTACCGGATAAGTATGCATAATTCCTTCTGGTATTTCATCAAGATATCTACATCCTCTGACATTTGCCGTCTCAAATTGTAAAAGAGGATCGTTCTCTACTTCGACAATAGAGAACAAGATATTAACACGATTATGATACTTCGAATCGACGTCTATTTTGAACTTTGTATCCAATAATTTGGTCGACAGTTCTTCTGGACTATGAATTGATATCTGTCGGTAAAGTAAATTACATGTATGAATATTTATAAATTTTGTTAACAGAATGTTTAATTAATTTATTGAAAAGTATGATGTAAATTACATGAGCATCGGATAACAAACGAAACGTCAATACTCCAGGACCTGTGCTTTGATTGACGCTAAACAATATATCACGGTTGTGTTCCCTGTAAAATTAATTACAAAGATGATTTTAATAACCACAAGTAATTCAGGTATTTGATAAATAGCTAAATCACTATTAGTCAAAACATGAGAGTTGAGGAACCACTTTTATCTGACGCTCGTATTAACGATATGACGATTAACGTTATCTCCGAGTTCCAGTTTCGTTATCATTGTTATGAAAATTGTTGAAGTGTGCAGACATATTGTGCTTACATGTGTTGTAGTGAATTGAATGAGATGCCAGGACCGGACTCAGAGTCCACTGGAAAGAATTTATCACAACATCGGAAATGTTTATAATTGAAACTGCAATCTGTGATTAGTTCCTCGCATTTTTTGTGAACCTACAATAAAAACAGATGCAAAGCTATTTGATGAAAACGTAAGTGAAAGGTACAAATTATATTTTAATGTTTATTTTATGTTTATATTGAAGTTAGAAAAGATGCATTTTACACTACGTTCTTAACGACTTATCTTTTGTTATTTCATACAATCAATCATTAAGACATCACGCTAACGTGTTTATTAACTTATGGTTAAGATTATGGACCGTTTAGGCTACAAACTCTAACTATCCAGCTAAACTAAGACCTAATTTTTAGTGCGTTTCCCTTTCCACCCTTTTCTTAAGATGATAAGGATGAGAAGGAAAAGTGGATATAAAAGTGAAAGTGGAGACGCATAGGAAAGGTGAAATGTATTCTATATGGGCGTCTCCTTCTCCGTCAATTAAGGGTAGGCAACGCATCTGCAATTGCAGATGATTATGGGCAGCGGTCGCTTTCCATTTCGGTGGATTCAGGCCGCTTGCTCGTATGCCACCTCATATAATAATGCAAAAAAACTTTCGCATTTAAGATATAAGTTAAGTGTTTCGATAAAAAATGTTACACTGTCTTACATCATTGATAATATTTCGCCAAGTTACGTTGCATGGAATAGCATCGCCACACTGCAGGCAAGCAGACCGTGTGCATGACCCCATACCAAATAACACGTCCGTCAGATATCTCCGGTAGTCGTAGTCCAATTTGTTCACTAAATCAGCTGATAAAAATAGCAATATGTTCCTTTATTCACAAATATTTCACATGACTGCTATCCATTTTTATCTGTCGGTAATTCATATTAAAATAATCTAAACCTATTTTCATCTATACTATAAATTAAAGAGGAAAGATTTGGATATTTGTATGTATTGTAATAACTCAAAAACTACTGAGCTGATTCTTCCACCATTAAAATGCTACGTTATCGGTATGTAAAATAAGCTACATTTTATTATTATTTTTTAAATTTCACGCGGGTGAAGTCGCAAGCAAGATAGTCATCTATAAAATGTAATTCGATAATTAAAAAAAATTACGATAACGTGCTGCCAATTTCTTCTGTGTGGTCTTTACATTATACGTTTCTAGAACAGTCACAGCTGGGAATACCGTGTTCCAAGACAAGTAGAGAGTGTTAGGAGTGAAATTGACTTCCACACCTACACGTAAAACTCTTCCCAATAAAAGATACAGACAACCACTTGATAGAATAAGAGTAATTGCCCAAAATAATCTGTAAGGGAAACAATCATAAAATGTTGACGAAACAAATAAAGTTTCTTGTTTTAAAGAATAAAAGCTGCCATAAAAATCAATGTATTGCCTTTCTTTTCCTAAAAATAAATAAGCAATAGCAAGTAAATATTGAATATTTAAATTACCTTTTGAAAATGCTAGCTTCCTTTTCAAAGACATATTTCAAACCATGTATAGAGCTGTTATGACCAAAGAATTGACACCGTTTTGAAAAACATGTTACAATTTTGCTAATCAATAATTTTAATTCGCCCATTTCAAGTGAAAATGTTTTTATGTACTAAGCGTGTTCGGTTTTTAATTTCCTTCTAACAAATAAAAAAATCATTTTGCATGTTTAATTTACTGAAAGCATTACGATGTCCGTATTTAATATTCTAGTTGTTTTTAAACTTACGTGAGTGTAATAAATAAAAGATTTATTCATACTTTATAACGAAGAATATTGCAATAAAATACCCTGCAGATATTTTCTTTTATATGTTGCTATTGTTATATAAAATATTTCTGGACTCAGGACCTTTCAAGTCGTAGATTTTGTAGTAGTAGTAAGTAAAAAGCAATAGAAACAAATTATCAAAATAAGAATCAAAATTAAAGTGTAGAAAAATAAAACAAAAAGCTGAATTGTAAATAGTTGTTTTATTTAAACGTCATTGAGCAATTATTTAGTAAACTAACAACGAATACAATAAATACAGATAGTTAGGCTTTGTCAACATTCATTTTAGTTTTAAATATTGAAATGGGAGTTGATTTCAAGTTCAAGTAATTACAAGTACAAGTACTTAAATAAAAAAGTAAAAGTATTAACATAAATTATAACTATTAAAAATTAAAGCTGAACCAAAAGTATAACATTAGTGAAATATTTATACGTTTTCAAAGGCGTAAGAAATAAATTATAACTTTGACTAGCTTTACAAAAGTCAACATTACAATATAGGTAAATATCCGTCAAGTCTTGTAACCTTATATTTTTTTAATGTTAGTGTTTACCGAACGTTAACCGAATAAATTTTTCAACCAGCCAAAGAAAGAAGATTTGGTAGGTGGAGGTTCAGTGGCCATGGGGTCCGCGTACGGATCCGTCGCCGCCTGCACGGAGCGGTCGAGACGGAACCCTTCGCGCAAGTCGCGTAACAACTCCGGCACCGGGTGACGTCGCTCCCAATCTGTCGCTGCAAAACAAAACCTCATTAAAAAAACATTAAACCCTTTCCAATTAGTAACGTAGAACGTAACACACCTGTGGCAATAGTGACTTAGAGAGTTATCACAAATAATCGTGATGAGTGAGAAGGTTTTCGTATTATCATCGACGATAATATTTTGTACACTAATCGCCCCTAACAAACAAAAATGAGACCAAGAAATATCATACAAATGTCTTTACGAACAATTTCTTGCAAATATTCGTGATAGACCCTCAGATACCTTAGTTTCAGTAGCGGAAACGGTTATTTTTCGTATTCAGATAACTCAAAAATATTTATTTGTTTTAAATACTTACGACAATAGGGTTCGGTAGCGGTTGTAAGTACGAAATAAGCCCCAGTGGCTCTCGGCAGGCCGCGGCCGCCCACCGCACGTATTCCCATCTCTGAGCAGGCGCCCGCGCGGTCGCAAGCCGCCACTATACTAGCGTTCACACTAACAACAAAAACATTACATTATATTCTTTGTTGAATTGCCAACTGTAACACGAGATCTTTGAATTAAATATCAGGTATCTATGTTTTAATAGTGGAAAAGTGTATGATGAACCAAATATGGAAGTTCTTACCCTTCATAAGTCAAATTCCACTGATGTCCTCTGAATGAACAGTTGTTGTTGACCAAGGACTCAATAAACAGCAAGTACGCTCGGCCGTGACTGCACACAGCTTGCTGGAGTACTGGGAACACAAACAAAACATTTTCCTTGCACTTCTCTGAGGACATGACATTTGAATAGAAAGAGAAACATACATATCCTATCTTCTTTTTTGACAGGAACTAAAATACCTATAATATTTTTCATACCGCTTTTTTCAGATGCTTTAACGGTCAATTAATAGGTTTACTTCTTCTTAGTTTGCTTTAGTTTCCTAAATCACCTTACGAATATAAGAAGTTAAAATAATACTCACTTCCGACTGGAATAGGCAAGAGACGAGCCCAGAGGGAGCTAGTCGTGTTGAAGCATCCGGGCTGCTTCATGCCACCGTTGGGATAGAAGTCCGCATGACCTGTTCACATACTTGTCATCCATAACTCCAACAATAAAAATACATCTTATCTTACTATCTTACTCTTACTAATATTGTAAATGCAAAAGTTTAGATGGATGGATGGATGTTTTTTAGAGTTTGTAGCCCAAACGGCTGAACGGATCTCGATGAAATTTGATTCAGAAGTGGAGTATAGCCAGGAAAAACTCTTGTTTTTACTTTTGTTTTTTATTAATTCCACGCGGACGCAGTCGCGGGCGAAAGCAAGTAATAAAAAAGATTTTAAAAAAATAGTACGCTACCAGTAGGGTCAGGAAATCCGAATCCAATCTTAGAGAGTAGTCGACCGTTGGTGTGTATGACGTCAACAAAGTCCGCATCAGTCGCGTCCAATCGCTCCACCAGATTGTTCGTGCGGAAGCAGGGTTGCGCCGGGTCTAGACCTGGAGTACACACAATTACACTGTGTTATACTGTAATCATAAATGAATAACCACCTTGATTGCTACTCTCTTGTTAGGCGTTCAGCTGCGAAAATCACATTTGTACATAGAGGTAATTTGCTAAAGCCTCATGGGGCCTAGTGTCCCAAAACCACTGCCATTGCATCTCCAGGTTAAGGAAGCCTTGGGGCATTTTAATATCTTGGCTTATCTTAAAATTTCCTTATTGTTCATTTTTTATTGTACACTATAACTTAAAGTTGTTAAAGTTTCGATAGCAAAGCCAAGAAATCGGCGAAAATCTATAATTAACTATTGTTTATCATTAAATTGTTAGTATTGAAGATTTCAAATACGATTGAATTCTTTAATAGGAAAAGTCAATAAAACGTCTATACTATTCACATGTGTAATTTATAACACCATTAATGAAATACCCGGGGATTTTTCTAAACAACTATTTTACGGATAGGTTTGTCTCGTTTTTCCGGTTCGTAACTTAATGAAAAACATTTTGGTAACACATAAAATATGACAAGGAAAACGAAAATACCACAACAAAATTATTCCAGTATGGTAATAACTATAATAGTTAGTTATACAAAATTTAAACTATAAATTTAGCTTCATTTCAAGTGCACCAAGATTTTGGAAGTGGTTTATAAATATTTGCATATTCCTTAACATTAAAACAACTCGTTACAGTTTTTATGTTAAAGGCTGTACATAACAGTAATAATATATAATGCATTTGAAGCCATATCATTTGCTTATTTATAAAAACAATTATATAAATGATTGATCATACTGCTTCTCATTATAGTTGACTGACATATCGCATGTAAGGTGTAATCAGTAAATCATTAACTTCCTTATCCATGTGCCGGTAAACGTGTTCTATCTTATTCCATATAATTATCCGAGCCAAATAAAACTATGCCATATAAAACAAAAGATTGTTAGACATATTTGTAAATAGCATGAACGTTCTGTAATAAAAAAATAATGGTAAGAAATAAGTTATTTCCACTGGGAAAAAAACTATCAAGTAACACGTACAAGTTTTAAATTTTTAATACGTATACCTAATTTCAAAGACTGGTAAAAAAAACAAACAAACCATGTTACCATTCTGTCGCATTAATTAAAATATTCACGTAAAAACATGTCAATTCTCTTCCTCTCTCTCTCTATCTCTTTCTTACAAACTCAATTCAGTTGATAAGATGATTTTATGTTATTGCATCAGCACTGCAAAGTTACAGCAGATACTTATGTATGTATGACTTACCAGTAATCCTAGAAACGCGACCCAAATGGTAAGACACGTAGGAGACAATGTGCGCGCCGAGGCTGTGGCCTACAAAATGGAAGTCTTTGGGATTTGCTCCCGTTTCCTTGATCAGTTGCTGCATAAACCTACGTATAAAAAACAACAATCTATACATTGCTACCCTTTCCTTAGAGACAATAATGATTATCATTTATTTATGTCAGACTAGCTTTCTCTCGCGACTCCATTCGCGTTGAATTTAAAAAAATCTAAAGTCAGCCTATGTGTTCTTCCAGACTATCCAGACTACCCTATACATCTATAACAAATTTCATCGAAATCCGTTTAGCCGTTAAGGCTAAAGAGTCTAACAAACATCCATCCATCTAAACTTTCGCATTTATAACATTAGTGTGATTATTGACAAAGTATGTAGTTAAATAACGACTTAGCTCGCGTATATTCCTATGTACTTTTTAGTTTATTAAACATTCCTCATAAAAGTTTTGATAAACGATATATTTAAAATATATCTTGGTGAGAAATACGTCATAAACATTAAGAAAAGAAAGTCCAGTTCTTGGTATTTACCAGTACCAATTACTTGTAATTCCCGAATATAAATTTCATATTCTAGAATCTCATATCAGTTGTAGTTAAAAAGTTTGTTTATTTCTTGAAGGGATAATAATTACCCGGTAACATCGCCGCCTACTGTCCTGGTGTTTGCGACAGCACGCCAGTACTTCCAAGTATTTCCTCCTTGACTCCAATCGACAGCTATGACATTAACATCGCCCTATAAAGAAAACTTATTGATTTATGTTTTATATAAGTATCGGAATAATAGAGTATAAATAATCTATTTATATCTAATTTAGTTAATACGGTCGAATACATTTTGTATTCTTTAACAACATTTTTTTCTTAAGAACTCATGATTGACGATGACCTAGAATTCGAACACAAAACCAGTTTTAAATTTATCAAAAACGACAAAAAATGACAACAGCATAAAAACAACATCGCATTTAGATTTGATTTATAATTAGTGTCCGCACACCTGAAACTAAACTATCGCACATCTGTTTAGTTTCGCTTTGATTCCTATGACTTTATATGTAGGTGCACACACTACTCGATTTTTAGTTGTGCAACTAAACAGTTGAATTGGCTGCGAAACAATCGACAATCGCACAACTGTAGTGCGATAGTTTAGTCATAGGTGTGCGCCCGCTGTTAGAGGTTTACCTTGTCTGTACTTACCCACTGTAAAAAGGCGTTAGTCATAGCTATCACCCAGCTAGCGTTGCTGTGGCTCATAAAACCGTGTATAATCATAACAGTCTTTCTATTCGGCTTGAAATCTACCCATTCCAGACCAAATTGATCTCCAGGAAAAACCTGTAAAATAATTATGATATGTAAAAAAAACAAATGAACATATGAAATACAGTCAAGCTTCTGGGTGCATTCAATCACTTTTATTAACGCTTATCTAATTTACTTGGGCTATACCCAATGTGTCAAGTTGATTTTATCAAGAAAAATTTTATGAACGTCACCTTTACTATTAACTGTAATTAGATCTTTACATTAAATATCATCTTCCTATCATATTACAGTAGTCATTACCTGAACTCTTTTTGGATTTTGTCGAGAAGAGAAGTAGAAGTGTGTATTGATGTTCTCCGAGGAGTCCGGCTGCATATTGATCAGTTGGCTGGCGAACGAACCCAACCCGAAACAATCCACTTCTTCTGATTCCGGGAAGTCGGTTACTGGTTCCTATAGACGAAAGAGATCTTAACAAATTTCAATTATGAACTAGACCTAATTGACTTCTATGGAACGCAGCATAAATTGTTATAACTGCCAATTTTCATTAACCGTTAAAAAAAAAGAAAAAGCGCTGTTAAACAACCCCTAACAACGATTGATCCGATAAGTTCGGTGGTCATTACAATGGAACACAAGGTTGTTATTTTGTTAAAAAGTTAACGAAATTAAATAAAAAATAATAACATAAAATCCATACCACTGAACCATAATCATCAGTAGACGTGTTTGTTCTCTCATGCTTCTTGTGCCAATTTAGAAATTCTTCAATGTCCTCAGGGCTGATGTGATTTTCCACTGAAATATAAATGTTCATTAAACAATTGCAGTCATTAACGATAATTGGATATTAAAATCCATTTATCAAATACAATTATAATATATAAATAGAGAGATTAATTAATTTCTTAACGAAATCAATCAATACATTACAAACAAAAGTCACTCGTCAAATTTTGTGAAAAAAATCAAGGATGTATTCGAAGGGATTACCCCGACCACAAATCATAGAATACGGTAGTATTTGAAGCATTAAATAAATAAAAAATGTGACGCAAACATGACATTACAATTACCGCCTTGCCATTGCAACGTTGAGGTGTAAATTACAAACAGTAAGGTACCATACCATATTCACTATTTAAATATGACCCAGTAGCATGAAATATAACTGGTGGATATTGAACTGGATCTTTTTGTTTTATTCTTCCAATGGACAAAATAATACGAGGATCATACCTTTACAAAATTTAATAAACAGAAAACAAAAAGCAACACAATGTTAGTACTTTTAAGAATTGGCTCTTGTCCTATATCCCTGATGAATAACAAATTAATGTACCCTAAAACCCCAGAAAATGTTATATCATGTTGATTAAATAACGCCAATATTATAGGACTTTGTCGCGTTATCCGTTGCCAAGGAGATATGTAAACAATCATAAAGGCTCATGGAATAAGAAACACTAGATACCCTTAAAACATTATATCTCACATGCTTTTGCCATCTTGAAGTAATTGGTTAAAGTATATTAAAGTAAAATCGTATAAAGTAAGTCTTTAGGCTCGTAATTCCCATTACGATTAAATCAATAAATTAACAAGACGCATAAATTCCTTTATCCATCTTATATGTCTACAAACGTGGGAATTGCACTCAAGTGAAAAGTTTGTACATTGTCTTTGATACTTAAGAAAAATATTTACTTGTCTTATTGCAAAGAGTTCGTAACCAGTATGATTAAATATGTTGAAATTGGCAGTTTTAATATCATATTTATTTGCTTACGGTGTCGCATCTAGTTGTTTAATATCTCCGACGAGCACCATCCTGACCTTATCTAATCCAGAATTGAATAGCAGTCGATCGCGAATCGAGGTGCACGCCACAAGCTTACAGCAACACGCAAACCTTGATCTTAATAAACTATACTAATAATGATTACAGTGAAGTGCTAATTAGACCACAGTTTTTATTTCATTTATAACTTTAAAAGTAATTACAACATTAATTACCTTTACTGAGTCGGTGCGAATTTAAAGAAAATCGAAATTAAAAAGAAATTTGACCAGACCATAAAATTTAGAGATAGATATTTAGTTAATAGAATTATTTCCTTTTTGTTAGCATAAGCTTGAAAACCCACAAACTGGACTTGAAAAAAAAATGCTGTAATTTTTCTTGTGGGTTTTCCCGCAATCTTGATTCCACACTTTGCATAAAAGTACATACTTAACTTAATAAAAAAATATTAACATAAAGTAACTAAAATGAATAACAGATAAAACTTTTAAAATATACTAAAGTTGTTCTTAAATTATTTAATGTTACGAATATAGAAGCTCGCGAAAGCTTATATTCAGTAAAGTAAGTTAAAATGGCTTAAAGTTTGCACACGCACACTACACAACTGAAAGTCTGACATTTTCGACAACTTAAATGACTTCCGAACACGCGACTATGTTAATACAGATCGAAGTTTTCATGATAAGTTTATCGTCATCAGACTGGACCCTTACGTAATGCATTTATCCTACTCTAAATTTTTTGTTCGGAATAATGCTATTAAAGTATTATCCTTTGAGTGCTACATTCGCTAATGACTTACAAAGAAATTGCTGTGAACTTTTCAGATTATATTTTACAAGGTCTTCTACTTTCTTTATGGTTTAAGTTTTCGATCTGTTCGAATACATCAACTAAACAAAGACAAATATTGGCATCAACACTCTATTTATGATATCTCTCTTATCTATATTATTCTTTAATAAATAAATACCGAAAGCAATGAACTTTTTTATAACCTGTCTGTTTGGAAAGTATTTACACGTAGCGTTTCCAGCTTGTTGGCTTACATCTTTGTTTTAATTTACAGATAAAATACAATGAATTCATTGCTCTGAAACTGAGTCCTAGCTCATGTCAACAAACTTAGCATAACCCATTTACGTTGTTTCGTAAAAAAAATCGTTAAATCCACTTAAATTCATTGATACGAAATATTAAACCGGTTTCAGTCTAACTCGACTATCGGTCAAAAATACCCACCATAATCTAGTTTATCTACGTAATTTGTACGTAATTGCGAAAAGGTAATCAAGCCATATTCAAATACAATTATTTGGGATACTTAATCATTAATTTACAATTGCTTATACAAAAGAAATTTACAACTTTTTATAAGTGGAAACGTGCAAAGGATAGTCGTTTATGAAAAATCCGCACCTCCGAAACAACTGCAAATATGTGTATTTATTTTTTAAAAGTGTACGCATAATAAGATCAATTATTCTCCAATACACTAGTATTTCTAATTACCATAATTGCTATAGTTAAGTATCATTGTTATTCAGAATTGTCAGTCCGTTTTTGATAAGTTCATGACCGCTATCGCCCGGTGTAATTGCAATGTTTTAGGTTAATTGACACTACATATCCACTTTTACGTAAACCCTAAAAGGATTACTAATTTTAGACTACACACAAAAATACATATGATCTACTTCTTATATACGCCATAAATATTTTAAGTACAACAATTTCTATCGTTTTAGGTTCGTCTAAAAAAAGTTTTGTTAAATTACGACCTTTGCTTGTAGGTGTTTTTTTTTAAAAAAAAACAATAATTAGAAAAAAAGAACAATAATTAAAACACTTAAAACAACACTTACACTCATCAGTCGTTACCCAGGGGCATTCAGCGGAAATATTTGCACACAATAAGAACAACCAAAACATAAAAGTCAATAAAAACTTCATTTTGAAAAGTATAAAAAAAACTGATTTATGAAAAACAATTATTGTTTTTTAATTTTAAAAGACAAAACTATTTATAAAATAAATCGTAACGCGACACGTCTTATTCGATATTGTCTACAATTTAAACTGTAGCAGTTAGCAATGTTGCAAATAAATATATAGACGGTAATGACAAAGGCGCGCAGTTTAATTCCCAGTTTGTTTATACGTTTAGCGGCAAAGATGCACCGGAAATGCATCAGCTACAAATAGAGATAATTTATCTTTTAATAAGTACTTATATTAATACTTGTGGATAATAATCCAAATACGTTAATAAACGTATTTTGTTTTCGCTTTGCACATTACTTAAAATTAGTAATTAGGCAAATCAGATTCTTGTAAAAAAACAATAGGATATTTCTAACCAAACGAAAGACATAAAGTACATGGGCGTCGTAACATCTTACTTCTTACTAATCTTACTAATATTATAAATGCGGAAGTTTAGATGGATGGATGGATGTTTGTTAGTTTTCATCCTAAACTGCTGGACGGATCTCGATGAAAACATAGGTGTAGAAGATAGTCTAGAAGAAGAAAGGCTTAGTAGCTTTTAATTCCACGCGGGCGGAGTCGTGGGCGAGAGCTAGTTATAAGCATTTTCATTACTCTCATCAACACCATAAAGTTTCTTGGATGTTTTTCTTATTTGTATCTACGTCAGGTAGACAAAGGAAGTAACAAAATAGATTGACTCATTCGTAAGTTTCGCGCCAAGAAAACCCGACACTCTGTCATCCATAATGGGAAAATTTAATGAAATCTGTAAACCCATGAAAGCTAAATAATTAATAAACTTTAATAATATTCAAATTATACAGGTAAATACACATGAAAATATGTATTGCATTATTTTTTTTACATTATACTGCGTCATCATCGTCGTACGTCAGTCCACGGTCCGTTCTGACTGAAGACTGCTTCACGAAATTATTGGTTATTTCTTTTAAATTTTTCATATATCCTTCTAATTTATCATTTCACTTCTTCGAATTTAACTACTTGTGTTAAATTTGACTTCGCCCCTTCAAATGTTGCTTATATCTACAACTAACTTCTACCACCACTTCGTACAAGTATGCTTAAAGCAAGTAATAAAATTAATAAAAAAGTGAAGAGATAATCTTATAATGACGTAAAAGTGATTAAGAAAAGATAATTGCAAAAGTATTACGGCGTAGGGTATGGAGAAATACTTTGAATTTAATTAATTGACAGTTAAAGATTAATGGACTGTTTTTTTATTAAAATTTTTAATACCAAACTTTTTTCTAACAACCAAGAACGAAGATCGTAGATGAATGAACGCGAAGAAAACGCGAAGACTGAGTTATTTTGACCGTGACTTAGATTCTTGTATTTGAAAAGTAGCACTCGGGTTGTATTGTTATTAAAAAAATTGTTGGGCGTCCCTGACCTGTTTGTAAACATGACTTTGTTGCGTTGTCATTAATTATTGATTATAGACTTTTTTAATTTAGATATACGCCGTTGAGTCAAATCACATTATAGTAATTAAACTAATATTATAAATGCGAAAGTTTGAATAGAATGGATGAATGTTACTACGTATCGCCAAATCGGTTTTATGGATGAAGTTATGCTTAGACACCATTTACACTAGCTTAATCACCCTTATAACTCTGACCGAGTGGTAGCCATTACGACGGTCAATTTTCTTTAATAGAAAAGGAATCTTTGAATTGTAAATGTTATTTGGTTATTGCTTGTACAACAATTAATATTTTATTTCACTTGTATTATCCCATTATTCATTACCAAAACACCATAATTGTATTCCCGACCGCTAGTTTAATTACCTACGTCAAGTAATATTATTATGGAAATGTTGTTTTTCACGGTCAGGACAGTACAAAGACAAAGTGCGTCACAACACAAGATTTTGCAGCTGTAAACATAATCGAGTTGTGATTTCCTTGTAGAGAATCTTTATCCCTGAATTTAAAGGAACTACGTAAGATATGTTAAAGTTCATCACAACAGAAGTTCCTGGTTTAAAAAAAACATACAGACGAATTGAGTACCTCCTTTTGGGAAGTCGGTAAAAAATCAAAGAACTATAATATATTGACGTATTATATTTAATAAAATTAACGGATAGTTAAGGAAATGTCTAACAAAATCCGTTACCACTAAATAAGTTAGATAAATAGTTTAAAGTTTAACAAACAGGCGTAGGTACAAAAATAGTTCATTTATTGACTCACTGGTAAAGTCCTTTCACTTTATTAATCACCCGAGATTGTGATTGAGTAATATAAACTAATATAATACATTTGTTGGGGATAAGGACGTAATTCGGTTTGTTAATTGTTAAGGAATTCACTAGAATCGACTGGTTTCTTTTAAATCTTGTCTCAAGTAAAGTTAATAATTCTGTATCTCAAGTCTCTTCAAATTGGATTCTCAAGTTTGGTTATTCCGTAAACCGTTGATTCGGGATTCGTCAAGAAGTTATTTAAAAATAGAAATAAAGTACTCCTAAGGAAACTTATTGAGCAATTTAACCAATGTAACTTTTATAACTTTTTACACAGTTAGCCGTTAAATTGCCCGCGAACTTCGGACTGAAATTATAACCTTGACCCCAAGAATACACTCACTATTTAACTTGCCATATTTTGGTAGTTTTTAAAATGTTGAAGTCTAGATTTTAAGTTATAACAACCAAGTTTAACGTAAAAATTGCAGTTAACACTTATCAAAAAATAAAAGCAAATGGGAAATTTTGTAAACAATTTTTGAAATAATTGTTAAAAGAATACACACTAAATATGTTATTCCATAACTTATAATATTTTTATTTATTTATTAACTTTAAGTGACAAATGTTTTGTTTAACGCCAATTTTATTTTCCTGGCAATGATAGACACGAATACAATGCTCTGATTGGTCGACTCCATAACGTATCTAACAGTTCAAAATTCAGTGCAACTGCCATGCAAAGCAACTGTTCTTCATGTTCAAGCGCTTAGTTTGAGAACATTGTGTATTCATTTGTGAACAATTTTTAGACTTTTGCTTCATTTTTATCATTTTATTGACTTGAACTTATATTTGAAGTTAATTTATAATGACGTCTATCAAGGAAGATGAAAAGAAAGAAATACCCGAAATAATTCAAGATCCTCAAACAAAGAGCACATATCACAGATTGCGGTTTTTCGGAAAGGTAAGTTTTTCTTTTACATTATACAACGACAAAATAACGAACTCGTTACTTATATCTTTGCTATATATAACTTGTAAAATGGGCATATAGCAATTTTAAACTGAAAACATCCGTTATATTTGGGAACAATTTTAAAAGTATTTGGCGATCTAATACCCACTAGTGTTAAAGTAATAAGACAACAATAACGTGAACTATGATTATATTCATTTAACCTATCGTTTATTCTAGGGGGGTTTTGCAAAATGCTACGAAATCCAAGACATGGCCACCAACCAGGTGTACGCGGGGAAAATCGTTTCAAAAAAGCTTATGGTAAAGTCGAGTCAAAAAGAAAAAATGGCTCAGGAGATCTCAATCCACCGGTCACTGCAACATAAACATGTGGTTGGCTTTCACAGCTTCTTCGAGGACTCCCTCAACATTTACATTGTACTGGAGCTCTGCAAGAGACGGGTTTGTACTTTTTATTGTATGTAAAACTTTCCTAAAACAAAAACAATACAGCAAATAGTTCATGTCATCATTGGACAAAAAGTTGTATTTACTTTCAACATTTTTCACAGTCCATGATGGAGTTACATAAGCGTAGAAAAGCAATCACGGAGCCAGAAACAAGGTTCTACATGCGTCAGATATTACTCGGTGTGCAGTATCTACACAGCCGAAGGATCATACATAGAGATCTTAAATTAGGAAATCTTTTCCTTGACGATGACCTTTGTGTTAAGATTGGAGATTTTGGACTAGCAGCTAAGATAGAATATGAAGGTAATGTGACAAATTTTTATTACACAGTAAAAAATCCCTTAATTTATAGATTTTTATCATAAATAATGAATAAATTTAACTTTTTAGGAGAGAGAAAACAGACTTTATGCGGCACACCAAATTACATAGCTCCCGAGATATTGACAAAGAAGGGACACTCCTTCGAAGTGGACATTTGGAGCTTGGGCTGCATCATGTACACCCTGCTTGTAGGGAAACCACCCTTTGAGACATCAACTCTCAAAGATACATATAAAAGGATCAAGCAATGTGAATACAGGTAAGATAATTTATTTTAACTATACATCTAAAAAACAATATGTTAAAATTGAAAAGAAGTTTAATATTGTTGTCATGTGCCTATTACAACTATAATCTTTAGGCACAACAAAATTCTTATCATTTTATTACAAAAACAAGTTATTTGTTGTTTAAAATCTTTATTTCTCTTAGGATTTACAAAAGTCACTTTATTTAAAGCATTATATTAAAGTTATTTACATGTATGACAAAATAATTTTGTATGAGCATATAAATGTTGAATAATATTAGGGTTATCAAAATGATAATAATGCACCTTTTTGTTGCCAACTAGTGAGGGGATATATCTAGCGCTGCATACTTGTTGTGCGGGCCCATGGCAAACATTTGGTACTCGCTTGGCTCAGGCCGTAGTCAACGAAAATACACTCAAGATGCGTTACAGGTGGTTATATCCAACACTTGTGGTAATATGGTGATGGAACTCAATGTGAGCTTCTATTCAAATCTGCTTGGGACAGTTAATGTCAAACATATTTGTTCATTTTACTTTGAAGTTTTCATGTGTGAAACTAACCATGTTTGTTTCTCAGTTAAACTGAAAATAAGCCATATTCATTGTGTTTAATATGTGAAATCTTCTGTTGATTTTTTGTTGTGGTTGTTTTCATTAGATGTTTTAAATTGTGTAAACTAATTAGACTTACAAGCTTACAATAATTAAGGAAGTCAGTCATATGAGGAAAAAAGATTGTCTATTCTATGTAGTCCTTTTTTTTAAATTAATTCCATTATTGCCTTAATTTTCTCAACTATTCTGTGGTAAAGAAAAAACAATAGTAACTACAAAGTTTTGAGACTAGTCATACTAATATTATAAATGCGAAAGTTTAGATGGATGGATTTGCTAGAGTTTGTAGCCTAAACGGTTGAACGGATTTCGTTGAAATTTGGCATAGATGTAAAGGATAGTCTGGAAGAACACATAGGCCACTTGCATTTGTTTTTTTTTTAATTCCGCGCGGACGGTGTCGCGGGCGAAAGCTAGTAATAAATTAGTATAACTTTTGATTATAAAACCCGTTGCGCCGATCCTACGGGAGTAGGATAAGAAGGATGATGATGATGAAAATTTTATTATTGAAGGAAGTATAGGTAAAAAAGTACGCAAGTACTTACGGTGTCTAAGTCGTTTCAAATCTAAATCACAACTTTGTAATCAAACTTGAAATCCAATTAGCATAACAAGATATTTTAAAAATAACGAAAATGTTCCGAAGTCAAGTCAGATAAAAAATGATGTATGTTTTACGATAATTAGCATATTTTGTAAACAAGTGATTTGCACACTCCATTCCCCAAGTCAATGACGTTTAAAATATAGATACTTGCGATTGTTGTTTATCAATTTTAAAAACCTTCGATGATGATAATACAAACAGGGAGTGATGGTCGAATCTAGTTCTTTGTTGGATTAAAGGGGAAACATGAAATCGTTAGTTGTGTATATGTTACAACGTTCTACGTTTTATAGATGCGAAAGTTTAGATGGATGAATGGATGTTTGCTACTATGTATTTCAAAAACTGCTACTCGCATCAGAAATTTGGTATAGATGTAGAACATAGTCTCAAAAAACATATACACGGCTAATTGATTCCTTTTTAAACCCGCGGACGGAATCACGGTCGACAGCTAGAACAGCAGCTTAAAATTTTGTGTAACATCATTCAACGTTATACGACCAGGGTACCAACAACGTTGAGGAAGCCGGCGACGTCGATGATCG